CATTTTCTACAAGGTAACATCCGCTGTCCGGGAGCTGTGGGGCACCCTGATCAACAGTAAACAGCGAGTTGGACGCTGCCAGACCATTTCCGGGTGGTCTGTCACCCTGGGGCGCATTTCCCAGTGTTTTATCTTGTTTTCCCTTCAATAGCTGAATAAGCTGTCTGAAGCTCCGTCTTGCAAAAACCCAGTTTCATTCTCAATTTTCAGAGGATCCCTGGAGTCTCTGGTCACTTCGATGACCTGCCTGCGATGGTTCCCTTTACCGTCAATCCGTCCAGGTGACAGCGCTTAGCTGCTCAGACAGGACTGCAGGTGTGTCCCCGAACCGCAAGTGGGGTCCTGCCACCACCGCCGCCACCACCAGGCAAATTCCAGAGGCAGAGGTTTGGTGAGAAAGGAAAGGAGTCTTTATGCAAAAGCTTCACAGTTTTGGATAACAGCTTCCCACGGGCATTAGTCACTTAAGCCCATCAGTGAAGGCTAAACTCTTCAACACCTGAGTTCTCCTTTCATTCCCCCTGTTAGTGTTTAATTATCTAATTCTATTAGATTCATTTACAAACTAAGACAATGTAAGATACAAAAGCCACACAACTTGGGAAGAATGGCAGGCTTCTGCCTTTGAGCTCATTCACCCTAGAGCAGGGGCGTCAAACTCATTTTCACCGGGGGTCGCATCAACCTTGCGGCTGCCTTCGAAGAGCCAAATGTAATTTCAACTCCTTAACAGTTAAGGAGTAGTTACATTTATACAGCCCTAAAGTTATTTCTGCCCTTTGAAGGCAACTGTGAGGCTCGTGTGGGCCCCAGTGACAATGAGTGTGATACCCCGGCTCTAGAACACTCAAAGAATAAACCTGCCACCCTCTGCCAGGCCATCCTAATCCTAGGCTGCACCAGAGTTCCCTCTTCCATCCAAAATCTGTCCAAATCACCACCCCTTGGGAAATACCGGCAGCTGCAGCATGACCATCCAGGCCTCCTTGAGGCAGAGGGCCCCTTAGAGCTCATCTCTGCCCTCTTTTTATTTTAAATCTCCTGGCCCGTAACTCTGTGCGCTCTGCAGGCATTGGGCATCTCCAGACGCTGCCATTCACTGTAGCCTCGGGCAGCCTCCTCCTACAATCCGATCAGATCTCTGTGCGTCAGGTGTTGCTGTGAAGGTATTTTGTAGATGTGGTCACCATCTACAATTAGCTGACTTCGAATGAAGGGGACCACCTGGCTGACGTGCCCCAGCCCCAGTGTTGGAAGGGAAAGGCAATAGTGCCAGGAGATGGCGGCTGCAGCCCTGCCCAGACTCTCCAGTCTGCTGACCTGCCCCTGGAGTTGGGCTCGCCACCCCCCATCCTGTAAGCCAATTCCTTGGAAGAAATTGACTATCCCCATCTTTCCACCTCTATCTCTGTATATCAATACATTTATATACACATTGTGGGCACAAAAAGGGTTTCTATGGAAAGTAACCTCACATGGTGATATGATCACAAATTTCTAACTGGGTTGGTCAAGGTGGGTAGTCAGCCCAGACATGTAACTTCTTTAGTAAAAAGCTTTATCTTCGTCTTAAGCAAGTCCTGTCCCTTGTTTCTGTGCATCCCGGTTTGCACACCTTTGCACACGAGCTTAACCTCACTGAAAGGAGCACGCAATCCTAACTATCCTGTAATCCAATCCCCACCTTGCTTTCTCCCACCTGCATATCCTCTTACCTTCCCTCCTGATCTAAAATGTGTAAAAGACACTGCAAAACTGTCATTCTCCAGAGCATTTAAGACGTTGCTTCCCGACAACTGTCGTCACTTAGGCGCAAATAAAATCTTACAGAAATTCTTTACAGGCTTGGACATTCTTATGTTGACGGCCACTGCAGAGACATCTTCTCCAGCTTCTGTTTCCCCTGCCAGCCCCCCCCCCCCGCCCGGGGTGGCTGTGCTCACTCCGCCCCAGTTTGTTCTAAGGACAGGCACTACCAAATATCACTAACTGCAGGCTTGGTGTCAGCGACTTCAACAGAAGTTTCAGGGATGACGGTTGATGATGACTGGGAATCGAGGCACTGGGTATCACTGTCCTTATTAGTGTCTGTGAGCAGCTCGAAAGGGTTCCCTGCTGGTCGGCAGTACTGAGTCCCCACCTGCCACTGTCACAGCGGGAGTGGTAACAACCCCACCGTTCTTTTGACACCAGTTCTCCAAGTGCGGACTCTAACATGCAGCTTACGGATGAATGGCATGATTGTGCAGGGATCCTAGAACTGACTTCAAAGATACAGACCCCACCTTCAGGCCTCCCAGTTCTGGGAGATTTGCTGAACTTCAGCCTTGGAGCCAGGACAGAGGAAAGCCTGGACAACGTGAAGCCAGGATGACTAAACCAGGATGACAGGACCTGGACCGTCACTGTCCTCACCAGAACGCACTGTGCTCCTCTGCACTTAGAGGGCTTTTCCACCCTCTTCCTTGGTCGTCTGTTCTGCTCCCCTCTCCCTCCTAAGAAAAACCTCTGCCTTCACTGAGGGGGAGATGGGCTGTGGGAGGTGAGTCCCCATCTTCCAGGTGGCTGGCACCTGAAATAAAACCTCTTTCCTTTACATCAGCACCTGTCTTTTGAGTATCAGCTTTCCAAGCAGCAGGCAGCCGGGCCTGCATTCGGTTATACTACCAGGTTGGAACCCATCCCAAAATCTGTCTTCCTTAGCTCTTTTCCTGGATGTCAGGCTTCTAAACTTCAATCTCTTCCAGCTGCCAAAAGAAAACTCAAAATTGCCCCCATTCTATCATACGAAGAATATAAATTCCACGCAGGTTGGATTCTTGGTCTGTTTTACAATATTTCCGGATATATTTCAAGCATCAAGAGCAATAACATGCAGTAAGGTACTCAGCGACCACCCGTTGAATGGATTCATGAATGGAATGAATTAAAAGCATGCAAATCCTTCTTCTCCCAGTAACTCCCATTCTAGGGAGCCAACTCCTGTTTGGCTTGCTTTGCATAACTAACTGAAGAAGTTTATTAACACTCTCCCCAAAGACATAAGGACACAGAGAGAAGATGGCCATGAAGGAACCAGAAACCGGGTCCCCATCAGACACAGACCTGACCATGTGGACACCATGACTCCATCCTTGCAGCCTCCAGAACTGACTCAGACTGAAAGGAGAGCCCTGACCTCAACATGCCATTCTTGTGGCCGAAACAAGAGCAACAGGGCTGGCAGACACTTCAAAGGCCTCTCAGAGCTCCTGCTGGGATGTCCACAGTCCACCGGCCAGAGTGTGTCACATTCAGAGCCAAAAGGCAATGGGACAGGCTCCAGGCCCAGAAAAGCAATGAGGCCAGACTGGCGATGCCTTGGCTGACCTCACTGACCAATGACCCCTGCCCTAGGGCAGGCCAATCAGTAGAGACCACGATCCTGAAAGGGCACACCTGGAAAAGCCAATGACTCTTCTGTTGAGATCCTCCTCTGGGACCTCCCCTAAAATCCCCACCTTTTTTAAAAGTATATTTTATTGATTATACTATTAGAGTTGTCCTGATTTTCTTCCCTTTGCTTTCTCCCCGCCCCCATACCCCCTTCCCTTCAGCAATCCCCCCATCAGTTCATGTTCATGGGTTGTGCATATAAGTTCTTTGGCTTCTCCATTTCCTAACCTCCCCTGTCGATTTGTTCCTACCAATTATGCTTCTTAATCCCTGTACTTTCCCCCCACTCTCCCCCCTCCCCTCCCAGCTGATACTGCTCCAAATGATCCCCATACCTGTGATTCTGTTCCTGTGCTGGTTGTTTGCTTTGTTTTTGTTTTTATTTTTTTAGATTCAGTTGTTGATAGTTGTGAGTTTGTTCTCATTTTAAAGTTCATAGTTTTGATCTTTTTCTTAGATAAGTCCCTTTAACATTTCGTGTAATAATGGCTTGGTGAAGATGAACTCCTTTAGCTTTACTTTGTCTGGGAAGCACTTTATCTGCTCTCTCGTTCTAAATGACAACTTTGGCGAAGCTTTCTTCTCCTGATGACTCCTGTTCTAGTCTGGCCTGCTTTGCATAAGTGAAGAAGTTTACACATCAAGAAGATGGCCGTGAATGAACCAGAAACCAGGTCCTCACCAGACACAGACCTGACTACGTGGACACCATGACTCCATCCTTCCAGCCTCCAGAACTGACTCAGACTGAAAGGAGAGCCCTAGACCTCAACATGCCATTCTTGTGGCCGAAACAAGAGCAACAGGGCTGGCAGACACTTCAAAGGCCTCTCAGAGCTCCTGCTGGGATGTCCACAGTCCACCGGCCAGAGTGTGTCACATTCAGAGCCAAAAGGCAATGGGACAGGCTCCGGGCCCAGAAGAGCAGCGAGGCTGGACTAGGGATGCTATGGCACCAACCAATCAGTAGAGACCACGATCCTGTAAAGACACACCTGGAAAAGCTGATGACTCTTCTGCTGAGATCCTCCCCTGGGACCTCCTCTAAGATCACAACTCTTAAAGGTCCTCAGGACAGAGGACCCAGTGTGGTTCTCTGTCCCTCTGGAGCACATCCTGCCTTTCCGCACCCCCTTCCCCGGGTGCATCGCCCTTGCCGCTCTTTCTCCGGAGCTCCAAGGGCCCTTCTTTGTCCGCTGTAACTTGTTTCCTGAGCCCACATTTCCTAAGCTCACTTCTTCCACCTCTGCGATTTCTAATGAAACTTTCTGTCCTAGTTTGAAAGGAAAAAGTGTCCTTTATGTTTTCTGGATGATTGGCAGGAGGTAGGTATGCTGGCCAGTTTTAAGTATTAGCTTATGTTGGCAATAATCATTAGTCAACCCAACACTAATATCAGTGTTGCTGTGAAGGTATTTTGGTGATGTGTTTAAAGTCCATAATCGGTTGATTTTTTTCTTATGGCCAGTTTCTTTTTCTTTTCTTGGGGGGGGGGGGCTTTATTTTTATCATTGACTCTATTACGAATGCCCCCCTTTGCCCTTGTTAGCCCACCCCCACCCAGTCCTTATAGCCATTTCCAGGGACCTGAGTGACGTCAATGTCTTTAAGGCTCATAACGTGCCTTTACTATTGCCAACGTTTTAACATTTTTGCAGAAGCACGTGCAGGTAAGCAGACTCATTGGCTGGCTTCATCACAGGGGACATGACCCCACAGCAGGTGTGGGTGGGCCTGACTCCATTACTTGAGAGGTTTGGAGCAGAACTGAGGCCTCTCTGAAGAAGATGAGGTTGCACCTGTGTGGTCCAGGCCGACGGCCTGCTTCCTGGGCCTCAGACCTGGGCGCGGCCCCAAACCGCACATGCCAATTCCCTGTTGTAAATCTCCTGCTACCTTTCTCCTTCTGGTGTGGGTAATATTTTTAAAAGCAAGTTTTCTTTCTTTTCCCCATGTATAAAGGCCCTGGCGTGGTTCCTGACATACAGTAACCATGAATTAGATGATAACTATCATTACTAAGGATTTCACCAGCCTTTGAGATTCTAGTCATTTCTGCCAGGAAAGCTTCCCAGGCTTAATTGGGAAATGACCGGCTAAGGGGTGGCCCAGATCACTGCCGTCATTCGTTCTTACTCTCACCCAAGCGCAATTTTGAAATGAGATTTTTTTCTCTGATAAAATACGTTTGAGTAGGGTCCCAGGGGAGGTGACCCGTGTAGTGACATCTGTCATCTACCTGTCCCCAGTGATTACACCTCCTTGCATTTTGGTATTTCCCACCTGGTGAATCCTGCCTTCCCAAAGCAGATTTTTAAAAAATTTTTTCTATTTTCTAGTTTCCTTACTGCCAGAAGGCAGACTGGTGACTTAGACCCCATATGTCAGAGTTACCTGAGCAAGACTTGGTTTGGAATGAGTTGCACGGGGCCTGGCCTGGGACAGTGGAGGGACTGGCCTCTCCCCACAATTCTGTGGCCCAGGAGTCACGCCGCAAGTCTGGCCCAACCGCCAGGGCTCCCGCCTGCCTGGTTCGGAGGGCCACCCAATGCCTTGCAATAGAACCCTTGCTGCCCAAAGTCCTAGGAGTGATTGACTGCAAGGAAGTCACTAAATATCCCAAGTGATGCAATGACTCGGGACCAGGGGACGCGGGAGATGCTTTACACAGCTTTGCCGAATCAATCACATATTTTATACTTAAATTTATATTTAAACTATAAACGTAAATCATGCCCATGGCTGAAAATTTCTGAGTATAGGTGAGTAGAAAGTGAAAAATAAGTATTATCTTCTCTGTTTCCCATCAGCAGTTTTTCTTAGGTTCATTCAGAAAATGTTTTGTATACACATACACAATTTAATTAAACTCAAAAGAAACATACTATACCCTCCTATAACTTGATGTTTTTTTACTCAACAATATGGCTTAGACATCTTTCTAAGTCAGTACATGTAAATCTACCTCATTATTTTCAATGGTTATGTGGTAACTAACCAAGCATATGAATAGGCCTTCATTTAGTTAAATGGCCCCATTGAACTAAATTTCCACTGATGGAAATTCATGTTGTTACTAACTCCCTGCTCTTCCCATGCTGCTGCCAGCATCCTGTGTAAGCTGGTACAATGGCGTGTCTGTGAACACACACGTGCACACACACACAGTTGTCCAAGTTCAGCCACAGAATAAATTCCCCAAAGGGAAGCTGCACATCAGAAAGTGGACAAAGTTGAAATGTTGACAGCTATCACCCAAGTCCCTTCCAGAAACGGTGCTGAAATATACTGTACGCTCAGCAGTCTTCCCCATAAGCACTAATGAGCTTTAAACTGTGGCAGCTGGAGTTTTGTTTGGTTGTTTCTAGAATTTTGCCTCTGAAACACTGCTTTCTGGGTTACTTTGCTTCCTCCAACAAAACAGCAGAGGCAAGGACTTGAACATGAGACAGGACGGGGAAGGGTGGACAGGGGAAGGTCAGACAGATGGGCCCAGCCCCAAAGACTGAGGGAGACACAGCCCAGGAAGCAAGGCTCGGGCCGGGAATTTGGTGTCACAACATGGGGACCAGGAACCCGGGCTTCCTCAGGCACTGTCCACACACGTGCTCAGGAGACGCATTCTTTTGTCTTCGAGTGTGGCATTATCTTAGAGCCTCTACACCTTCTCTGGGTGACGTGATGGGGTCTTCTCTGGCTGTTGACACCCAGAGAAGCAACCATGCCACTGGCAGTGAAGACAGAACATGTCAACTCAAAATATGCTACAGTGGCATACGGAATTTGGGGGTTGAAGGTAATTGAAAAGAGGCAGATATAAGAAGCTCCCAGCTCTTCCCCCTGGGCCATGAAAGCAGGCCATTAATTTCTTTTTTTAATCCTTACTGAAGGATATGATCGTTGATTTTAGAGAGAGAGAGAGGGAGGGAGAGAGAGAGAGAACATCGATGTGAGAGAGAAACATCAATCAATTGGCTCCTGTATGGGCCCCGAGTGCTGGGGTTCAAACCCGCAACCCAGGCACATGCACCAACTGGGAATGGAACCAACATGGGACGATGCTTTAACCAACTGAGCAACCTGGCCAGGGCAGGACATCGATTTTTAAAGGTGTTCCTCCTCCCTGCTGTGTCAGCAAGGACAGAAGTTAATCACCAGGATAATTTATCAGCCTGAAGAAGTTACAGGAAATATCTTCCTAACAAACTTGACTGACCAGCCTTTGTTTACCATTAGTTTCCCATTGATTTACCTTACTAGGTTTTGCTGCCCTTAGAAGCCTAGAACCTCTTTCCTTTCTCTTATAATTTCTCTACAAATTTACTATTCTACAAATAAAAACAAAAAAATTTCATTTGTTGAGAACACAAATAAGCCTGAATTCTAAGCCACATCTTTGAGTTACTCATCTCCAAATACCCCCATTTGTTACATGCAAGATACACATGTTAAAAAACAAGGCAATTTTTCTCTTGTTAGTCTGTCCTTTATACAGAGCTCCAGCCAAGAATCTAAGATGGGGAAGGGAGACTTTTCCCACCCCTGCAGCAGATAAACCTCTGGGTAGTCTTTTCAGAACACAGAAATCACCCTCAAAGAAAACCCCAAAGTTTATAGGTAGCCATTTGCCATTTCTCTCAGTTTCCTGGGGCAGGAAGCCGAGTCCATGGGGAGCACAGGGGAGCTCGCTCCTAATTCCATCATCTTTGCAAGGCTCAGTCTCCCCTCTTAAAAGTTAATTCTCAGCATGGAGGGAAGTCTCTTGCATAAGGGAGTAGTAGTAAAGCAAGATCGGCAGACAGTATCCCCTGTTTCTGTACAACTCTTCATTGCTGCCCTGTAAACCCAAATGGGGACTTGCAGTTTGGGGCATGAGGGGTGTCACTTGAGGGTGATTTCTGTGTTCTGGAAAGACTACCCAGAAGTTCATGTTTTTATACAAGTAATACTTTATTAGAATTACATATTTAAAACCTGAGTTCTTGCTTGGCAATTTCCACTTAGGAAACCCACTCCTTCACTAAAAAATTGTTGCCTGGTTCTGGTGCAGATGCTGAGGACACATCAGCAACAGGACCTGCAAAACGTTTTATCCTCACAAAAGTTCACACACTCACGGGGGAGCCGCAGAATGGAAGGCAAAACACAAATTGTATACTGTGCTGGGATGATACAATTTCTATGAAAAAATAAAATAGGGGCAGGGGAGAGAATGCATTTTAACAAAGGGTGGCGAAGGAGACACTGCTTAGAAGGTGAACACCTTCATGCATTTGATTTTTATTCTTTTCAGATTTTAGATGTAATTTAAACAAAGGGTGTTTCCTGAAGTGAATTTCTGTTATTGGCAACACAGAAGTTTATTTGGCTGTGTTGAATAGTAAAGCTATTCAAGTCATAAGCCAAAGCTGTGAATAAAAATATAGCCCAAGACGCAATTTTATGCTGGACTTTGAAAAAACATTTTCTCATGGAAACACGGTCAGACTCAAAACAGACCTAGAATTTATAATAATATCACATGCATGTGTTGCGTTATTGGCTTAGATTTTTTTCTCTTGCATCTCACAGCTCGCCTTCAAATGTTGTCACAGGCAAAACAAATCCCAATAAACACTTCAAATGAGAAGAGTGGGAAACGTACAAAAACGTCACAATGCAGTTCTTCTGCAGCACAATCTGTGGTCTCCTGTGTTTACAGCAACAGGCAAGTGGCAGTAACTGGGGAGGTAACTGGCAGTGGAGGTAACTGGGCACATAAACACTTCTTCCTAAAAGCAGGCATTCCCTCCGGTTTGCCGTCACCCTCGTAGGGTGCACTGGCTCTGAGAAGCCAGTGGCTAAAAGGGTGAGGGTGGGGGGTGACTCCAGAGGGAGAGGCTAAGGTCAAGGGCCACCGTCCTTCCCTCCGTGAAACTCCTAACCCCCACCTTGTTCAAGGGTCCACTGTGTTGTGAACCCACTGCAACAGAGCCAGCGCTCCGGGAAGCCTGTTTGGGAAGCTGTGTCAAGGGTTCAGACGGAGGTCCGATGAGTTCACACAGCCAAGGTCTCGGGTGAGTGTCTGCGGCAGAGTGGGCAGCTCTTTCTGCCCAGAACCAAGAAACTTGCCACAGGGAGGGAGGTTGGCATTAATGCACCAAATTATAATACAGCAAGGCCACCCAAGGCACACGCTGAGAAGCAGCAGCTACGTTGAGACTTAAGGGACGGCTTTACCAGGTAGGTGGCACTTGAAGGAAGTTTGAAGCATGATTAGGCGTTTCCTAGGCAGACGTTGGAGAGAGAAGGTGCTCCAGACAGAGAAACGCCACAGGTGAGTAGTTCCATTGCAGGTGTAATGGACGACCACCAGCAAGGGGATGTGAGAAGGACATGTGGGCAATTTGTTCCAGACGTTTGCCTTGATCGGAATCGCCGTGATTTAAAGGTCATTGCGAAGCTTAACCCCCTGATTGAACTTGGACCATTTGTAAAACCCAAACATATTTCAGTTTGCTAATGACCACCACCAGTACAGAAGAGTCTGCTTCGTAAACTTGGTTTGGGGGAAGACAGTTAACCAGGAACATAATTAGTTCATACTCAGGGTTCTTCCCCGCCTCAGACTTCGATCAGCACCCCATAATTTGCCAGGAAACATGGGAACATGTATGTTTTGGAAGTGATGCCTGGTAAGCATGTTTTGGGACAT